TGAGTACGGCAGAACGCCATTACAGGTCATTCTGTTGTTTTGTTTTAAGACCGGTGGTATTTGGTTTCACCCTAGATCGAAGGGATATTTAGACTCTGGGCTCTTGGTCAACCAAGCAGCATCAGATATGGGTCCCATCTCATTGCCTTAAGTCAAATCAGACGTCAGTTGGTGTCTTGTTAAGGTTTCTGCTGCTGTGAAGAGACACCATGGCCACCACAACTCTTACAAAGGAAAACATTTAACTGGGGCTGGCTTACAGTTTCAGGAGTGTAGCCCATGGCCATCATGACAGGACACGGTGGCGTGCAGGCAGATTGGGTGCTGGAGAAGGAGCTGAGAGCCCTACATCATCTTTATCTGCGGGCCGCAGAAGCAACTGTGTGTCACACAGAGCACAGGTTGAGCTCAGGAGAGCTCCAAGCCCACCCCCACAGTGATGCACTTCCTCCAGCAAGGCCACACCTCCTCCAACAAAGCCCCACCTCCTAATAGTGCCGCTCCCTCTGGGGACCGTTTTCTTTCACATCGCCGCCGCAGTGGATTACTCCCACAAGATTTGTGTCCTTATTGTCCTAGCATGTTTTCAGGAAGGACACTTGTAGACCAAAGGTTGGGTTGATGTTTTTGTTTCTCTTTGGGTAGCCTTCAGAGTACCTTTCCGTGCCGTAGACGCTAGGACCCGAGGGTGAGGTTCTAGGTAGGGACCAGTTTAGCCTCTCTATGTCCAGTGAGTTGTGTGGGTGTTATCTTCAGCAATGGGGCCTTGCACTCAGTTTGTCTTGGCAACAGCCTGGGCTGTTTGGAGATTTCCATGGGATCCTTTTGACCAGCATCTCAACAGGAACTGGAAGCTCCATTTGGTGACAAGAGATGGCCAATAGGGACTCCATTTCCTCTATTATTTAGACACTTCATTGGGATCGCCTTCTTATATTACAGGAGTTTCCCCTGCACTAGTTTCCATATCATCCCTAAAATGTCCTTCAACTCTAATATTTTTCCCTGATTCTCCTCCACACCCCCACTCCAGTCTACCCATAAAATCTATTTTCCCCTCTCAGGAGACCCCCCCAGTCCCTTCCTATATGACCAACCTCTCTGGAGCTACAGACTGGAGCTTGGTTATCATTTATTTAATGGATAATATCCAGATATAAGTGAATATACACCATATTTATCTTTCTGGGTTACCTCACTCAGGATGATTTTTTTCCTAGTTCTATCCATTTGCCTGCAAATTTCATTATGTCATTTTTTTTCAAAGATCTGAGTAATACTCCACTGTGTAAATGCACCACCTTTTCTTTATACGTTCTTCTGTCAAGGGACATCTTGGCTGTTTCCAGTTCCAGGCTATTGAGACTGGAACACCAATGGCCATGGCTGAGCACGTGTCCTTGCAGTAGGGCAAAGAGTCTGTAGGGTGTATGTCTGAGAGGGGTACGGCTGGGTCCTGCGGCAGATCAAGTCCCATATTTCTGAGGGACCTCCATAATGCTTCCCACAGTGACTGTACAAGTTTGCATTCCCATCAGCAGTGGAGGAGTGCTCCCCATGAGCCACATCCTCTCCAGCACGACTGCCACCTGTGTTACTGATCTTAGCCATTCTGGTGGGTGTGAGATGGAATCTCAAAGTAGTTCTGATTGGCATTTCTCTGATGACTAAGGATAACGAATATTTCTCTAAGTGTTCCTCAGCCATGTGAGTTTCCTCTGTTGAGAATAATTCTCTGTTTAGATCTGTACCACCATTTTAAAATTGGGTTATTTAAGTTTTTTTGATCTACAGTTTCTTGAGTTCTTCGTATATTTTGAATAAGTGACCCTCTTTTGAATGTGGATTTCATTTTTTAAAAAAAGTTTCCTATTTTTTAGGCTGCGGCTTTGTTCAAATGACAGTGTCCTTTGCCATGCAGAAGCTTTTCGGTTTCATGTGGTCCCACTTACTAATGGTTAATCTTAGTGCTTATGTCAATAGTGTTCTGTTCAGAGAGCCTTCCTCCGTGGCAATGCATTCATGGCTGTTCCTCACTTTCTTTTCTATCAGGTTCAGTGTACCTAGTTTTAAGTTGAGGTCTTTGATTCATCTGTAGTTGAATATGGATCTATTTGCATTCTTCTACACACAGCAACCATACAGTTTGACAAGCACCATTTGTTGAAGATGCTTGGGTTTTTTTCCAGTATGTATTTCTGACTTCCTTATTAAAAATCAGGTGTTCATAGGTGTGTGTATGTTTATGTCTAAAGAACACTACCTACTCATCAAAGGAAAACTCCACTAAGATGATATGTCAGTTTTTAGCATCTAATGCCCCAAACACAAGGGCATCCATTTTTATAAAAAGAAACATTGACCCTCATGCACTGATAGTGGGAGACTTCAATACACCACTCTCAACAACAGACAGGTCATCTAGACAAAAGCTAAACAGAAAATGCTGGAGCTAGCTGACATTATAAACCAAATGGATCTAACAGATATTTATAGAAAAATTCACCCAAACACAAAGAATATGTATTCCTCTCTGTGTTTTTTGTTTGTTTTTGTTTTTTTGAGACAGGGTCTCTCTGTATTGTTTTGGAGGCTGTCCTGGAACTTGCTTTGTAGACCGGGCTGACCTTGAACTCACAGAGATCTGCCTGCCTCTGCCTCCCGAGTGCTGGGATTAAAGGCATGTGCCACCAATGCCCAGCTGTATTCTTCTCTGTGATTCATGGAATTTTCTCCATAACTGACAACATGCTTGGACATAAAGCAAGTCTCGACAAATGCAAGAAAACTGAAACAACTCCCTCATCCTATCTGACCACCATGGATGAAAGCTGGATCTCGTCACCAGAAGTCCAATGTGCTATCCATGGCACCACAGAGCCACTAAAGCTGGATCTAAACAACAACAGAGACAGCAGAAAGCTTACAAAGTCATGGAAGCTGAACAACTTTCTACTGAATGAAAAATGGGTCAAGACAGAAATAAAGAAACAATGAAAGACTTTCTAGAATGCAATGGAAATGAAGACACAACATACTAAACTTAAGGGACACAATGAAAGCTGTGCTAAGACACAAGACCATAGCACTAAGTGCCTACATTAAAAAAAAATGGAGCATGTTAGCAGCTGAAAGATCTAGAATATAAGGGAGAAGTAACATCCAAAAGGAGTAAACAGCAAGAAATCATCTACTGCAGGGCTGAACTCAATAAGACAGTAAAAGAGAATAATATGAAGAACCAATGAAAGGAGTTGGTTCCTTGAGAAAATCAATAAAATCAACAAACCCTTATCCAAATTAACTAAAAGGCAGAGAAAGAATATCCAAATTAACAAAATAAAAATAAAAACTCACAACACATGCCAAGGAAATCCAGAGACTCATAAGAATGAACATACTTTAAAAACCTGTACTCTATAAAATTGGAAAATCTAAAATAAATAGATAATTTTCTCGATAGCCACCACTTACCAAAGTAAATCACGATCAGGTAAGCAATTTAAACAACCCCTGGTGAAATAGAGGCAGTCTGTTTGTTTGGGAGAAAAGTCTCCCAACCAATAAAAGCCCAGGGCCAATTGGCTTTAGTGCACAATTCTACTAAACTTTTAAAGAAGAGTTAACACCAACACTCCTCAAATTAATCCACAAAATAGAAACAGAAAGAACACTGTCCAACTCCTTCTATAAGGCCACAGTTACCCTGATATCCAAACTACACAAAGATCCAATGAAGAATGAAAAAATAAAGACCTGTTTTACTTATGAACATAGATCAAAAGTACTCAATAAAATACTTGCAAACCTAATCAAGAACACATAAAAAATATCGTCCACCATGATCAAGTAGGCTTCATTCTAGAGATTCAGGGATGGTTTAATACATGAAAATCAATACATGCAATCAACCATATAAACAAACTGAAAGAAAAAAAAACATGATCATCTTATTATATGAAGAAAAGGCCTTTGACAAAATCCAACACCCCTTCATGGTAAATAATACAAGGGACACACCTAAACATAATAAAGGCAGTTTACAACAGGCCCACAGCCAACATCAGCTTAAATGGAGAGAAACACAAAGCAATTACCCTAAAATCAGGAACAAGTCCACTCTCTGTCTCTACTCAGTATACTACTTGATGTCTAAGATGACTGAAGGAGATCAAGGGGATACAAACTGGGAAGGAATATGTCTAAGCTCATTATTTGCAGATGATATGATAGCATACATGTAACCCTAAAATTTCTACTGAGGAACTCCTTCAGTTGATAAACACTTTCTGCAAAATAGCTGGATACAAAATTAACTCAGTAGCCCTCCTACACACAAATAACAAATACGCTGAGAAAGAAATCAGAGAAACACCCTTCACAATAGCCTCAAATAATATAAGATATATTGGGGTAACTCTAACCAAGGAAATGAAAGACCTGTGTGACAAGAACTTCAAGTCTCTGAAGAAAGAGATTGGAGAAAATATTAGAAGATGGAAAAATCTCCCATGCTCATGGATTAGTAGGACCAATATAGTAAAAATGGCCATCCTACCAGAAACAAACTACAGATTCAATGTATTCCTATTAAAATTCCAACGCAATTCTTCATAGATCTTGAAAGAACAATTCTCAGCTTCATATGGAAAAACAAAAAAAGTCCAGTATGGCTAAAACAATCCTAAGCAATGAAAGAACTAGAAAGTCTCTCCATTCCTCATCTAACGTTATACTACAAAGCTATAGTCATAAAACAAAAATATGGTATTGGCATAAAAACAGTCATGCTAATCAATGGAATTGAATTAAAGACCAAGATAGAAACCTGTTTTTTTTTTAATTAGTATCAGATGAATGGATATGACCATGGCAGGTCCACATAAAAATACTTATTTTCTTTTGCTGAATGATCAAGTGGGGGCTAGGGAGATGACGTAGCCAGTGAAATGCTTGCCTTGCAAACATGAGGACCTGAGTTTGATCAGAACCAAGGCATGGTGGCATTTACTTGTAACCTCAGCACTGGGGAGGCAAAGATAGGCAGATCCCTGGGCCTTCTTGGCCCCCCAGCCTAGCCTAGTTGGCAGTTATTACCAGGCCAGTGAGAGGTTCTAGGAAAAAAACAAACAGGTGAACAATGCATGAGGAATGACATCTGGGGAGAAAATGGCCTGTGGGGACCCCACTCTGCACACTCTAAGCCCTGAGGGAGGACATCGTGTGATGGGGTGGATACAGAGGGGCTCCGGCAACCTATTCCACCACAGGTGAGGACAGTAAGGCTTAAGGGCCACTAAAGTGAAGGCGACAGGAGCCACCTAAGGAGCTACAGCTTATCCCAGGGTCATCATGGTCCAAATCATGTCTGGGGACTTTTCTCCAGTGATGCCTGCAAGGTAAGGAAAGTTGGCTGAGTGGAGGGATCACAGAGGCTGCGGCCATGAGAGGCCAGGAGGAGAGAAACGGAAGCTGAGCATGACTGTGGATGGTTTCTCTTGAGACAGACTCTTCTGGATACAGTAGACCACGATGAGGGCAGGGAAACTGAGGGACACCTCCTAGTGTCTGGCCCTCCTCTCCCAGGGCTCTAGAAGCCATAGAGATGGAGGTCAGGTCCAGGGATGTAGGAAACACAGACAGAAGGATCCTGGAGAGAGAGAATAATCCTGCTTACACCCTCTGTCGCCACAGGCAGGGTCATTACAAATTAACTGAAGGACGTGAGGGTTTGGAGATCCCCAAAGCCAAAGGTGGTGGTGACAGGACACTCGGGTAGCCATGGGTAGAGAGACTCCCGGAAGGAGAGTAGAGGGGAGAGGCCTCTGCAGACTGTGAGGAGGAGGAGCAGCAGTGGACTGAACATGATGTCCAAGATGGCGACCAATGTGAGGGAGCCTGGAGGACTAAGGACTGGGGCGTAAGGAAAGGGCATCACGGTGCAGAAGCTGCCCTGCCTTAGCTCCCTTTGGCATGGAGGGTGGTATGGCATTGGAGACCGCGGCTTCCAGAGCAGAAGTTAGGGCCCAGCAGACGCTCTTTCTCCAGCCTCCTTCAGCCCTGCCCCTACCTCCCCCACACCACCCTCACACCATACACACCCCCACCGGCTCTCCCCGAAACCAGCAACGTCTCTTTTTGCACAGAAATCGGTTCAGGACAACCAAGGAGAGCAGCAAAATCCCATTTTCCCCCTGTTTTAAGAAATTATATCCTTATTAATCAGGAAACATGACATCACTCCACTGCCACCCCCCAGTGAAGCATCCTCTCCTGGCTTCCCAGTGCCCAGGGGGTCGGGTTAGAGAGACTAACAGTTCAGCATCAAGCCGGCAGCCCACCCCACGGCTCTGATTGCAATGCAGCTCCCGAGCGAGCGCATTTGAAGCTGGTTTACATTGTCTTTGCTTGGCTGACCTTGTATGCTATTGAATTGGAAAATGTGGTTTGTATTGTAAGGCCTCTTAATAATGTATTAAAAAAAACAAAAAACAAGGGACTTTTCCATTGCAAATGAAATATGGAACTCCATATTTAGCATGGAGAATGCCTCAGCTTGTTTTGAAACATATTTTTCATTAGCTAGACTTCTCACCGTAACAGAGATTTAAATTTTATTTTAAAAACAGCCTGCCATGCCCTACGTGCTCATGTATTTATGTGTACTCTTTCAAAGAAAACTATCTAGAAAGATATACGCACCAGTAGTGATGGTGGCGGCTGTGAAGAAAATGAGAAGATATTATATTTCTGCATGCCGGCTTCATTTTTCAATATGAGAATTGTTCCTGGGTCTGGTGGCACATGTCTATAATCCTGCACATGAGAGACCGAGGCAAGAGGATTAAGAATTCAAGATCAAGCTAGAGATAGACGGAGGAGATGGTCACTTAGTAATGGCGACATTTTGAGATGATACCATAGTTGGTAAAAACAAAACAAAACAAAACAAAACAAAACAAAACAAAATTCTCAGTGGACCTTCCCAAACTAGCAGGGCACGATTTCACTAGACAATAGAATCTCATGGTTCTACCATGGGATAGGCAATCTCTGTTGGACAAAGACATTGTGTGTGTGTGACTGTGTGACAAGAGAAGTTGCCTGAGGCCTGCTCCCCACCAGCCCTTCATTAAGTGCTGTGAACTGAGGTGGCCCTGCCCTGGAATTCTCAAATGAAGGTTCTGACCCCTAGGACTGTCGGATGTGATGTTGTTAGGAGATAGCATCTCTGAGGCTATTGAGTTAGACCGGTGTCATTGGGATCCCTAACCTGAGGTGACTACTGTCCTCATTAAGAGCGGACATCTGGACAAGGACATACAAAAGGGTTGCCTATACGAAGGGATGCAAACAGAAGGTGGTCATGTACAAGTCACAGCCATACTGACTGGGACCCAGGTGTGACACAGAGCCTGATATTGGGGTTCAAGCTTCAAGAAGAAAGATCATAAAAGCAAAGCAGCCAAGCCACTAGCTCTTACCTCTACCTCAGACCAAAATGGCTGTCCTGGCTCCATGAATCCCCAGAGTGCAATTCTCGCCACCAAACCTCAGGCTGCAATCCTGTCTCCGCCAAGACTCAGACTGCAGTCCCAGACTGCTTCCTCTCCTCATTGGGGCTAGAGACAAATTCTCACATGAGACCCTTTGCTTCTTCCTTTCTTTCTTTCTTTCTTTCTTTCTTTCTTTCTTTCTTCCTTCCTTCCTTCCTTCCTTCCTTTCTTTCTTTCTTTTTTCCTTCCTTCCTTCCTTCCTTCCTTTCACAATTCTCAAATCCTGGGATAGAAGGCGTGGGATCCCAGGTGCTGAGATCACCTTTGTGTGAGCTGTTTCTCTTTAGGACTGGATCAATTTCATGTAGCACAGTGTGGCCTTGAACTAACCGAGATCCGCCTGCCTGTCTCCTGAGTCCTGGCATTAAAGGTGTGTGCCGCCACCTCCCAGCTTCTATAGCTAGCTAGTGTGTGGCTGGCTTTGCATTCTGAGACTTCAGGCAAGCTTTATTAAACCATAAATAATGCATCACCATACTCAATAGTTCAGAATGATTCCAACCCACTGATCCCGTGACCTCTCCTCCAGCCTCTGCCTCTAGTGTATGAGGAAAGCTCTTTCCATTTTCTGTGACACTAGGCAAGACCCTGACTGCCTGAGTCTAGCTGGCCCCATCCTGGCTGTGGATTAACTTGGGACAGTCCCAAGGCACCAGCATCCCTCAGCCACCCTCTACTCTTCTACCTCCGTCTGCTTTGGGAAACAGGCTCTGCGTTTTACGTACAGCAGGAGCAAGCCTCCCTCCTCAGCACTGCCCGTTTCTCCCTCCTTGGTGCCAAGTCCAGACCTCTCATACTCTGTGTGACCACAGGAGCCTCCAATGGTCCCCCTAGCCCTCCACTCCTCTGCCTGTCACCCAGTTCTGTGCCCTCTTCACAGCTTCAGCGCTCCCAGAGTCTCCCACAATCGTTGGGACCCAGGCCAGCAGCCCACCAGGCTCATGCACTCTCTCCCTCTGCTCTCCTCGGGACCACCAGACCCATTCAATCAATCTCCCTTGTGTGTGTGTGTAGAGACAGAGAGAGAGCCAGAGAGAAACAGAGACAGACAGACAGACAGACAGACAGACAGACAGACAGACAGAGAGAGCTGCTGGGGCCAGAGGTGGACATCAGTGCCTTCCTCAATAGCTCTCCACCTTATTTTTTTTGAGACAGGGTCTCTCACTGAACCTGAGCCAGACTGGCTGGCCAATGAGCTCCAGGGATCCCCGGTCTCCACCTCCCATCCTCGGCACTGCAGATCCATACTGCGTGTCCGGCTTTTCTGCGTGTGCGTTGGCGATGACTTGGACCCTCACACTTGAGCAGTGCCTGGGCTGCCTCCTCAGCCCCGAGTGAGGCCCGCTACTCTCACCTGCCCCTTTGCACGTGGGTTTGTACCCTGAGCTTCCCACCTGTCTTAGTTGGGGTTTCTTTTCTTTTCTTTTTTTGGTTTGGTTTTTCAAGACAGGGTTTCTCTGTGTAGCTTTGGAGCCTGCCCTTGCTCTGTAGACCAGGCTGACCTCGAACTCACAGAGATCCGCCTGCCTCTGACTCCCAAGTGCTGGGATTAAAGGCGTGTGCCACCAACGCCCCGCCTAATTAAGGTTTCTATTGCTATGAAGAGACACCATGACCATGACAACTCTTATAAAGGAAAGCATTTATTTGGGGGGTGGTGACCCACAGTTTCAGAGGTCTAGTCCATTATTGTCATGGCAGGGAGTAGGGCCACGTGCAGGCAGACACGGTGCTGGAGAAGGAGCTGAGAGTCCTTACTTTTGACTCACAGGCAACAGGAAGTGGTCTGAGACATTGGGCGTGTCTTGAGCATAGGAGACCTCAAAGCTCACCACCACAGTGACACACTTCCTCCAACAAGGCCACGCCTCCTAATGAGACTATACGCCACTCCCTACGAGCTTATGGGGGCCAATGACATTCAAACTACCATAGGAGACACTGTCGTTCAAACCAACATACCACCCTTGGAAGCCACCTGGCAGGCTGTTTGCAACTGTGAGATGCCAGACTAAGGACACTCAATTTTCTTTCTTAGCAGCGTCCTCACACCCAACACGGTGCCCACCTGGGACGGGGGCTGCCCCAGCATGTCATGAACCGAGGTACCCACTGCGCAGTGACTGTGTACTTGGGGCCCTGAAACCAGCCTGGGCTGCAAAGCCTCCCCGTAGCCACGTTCACGATGCCTCTTTGTGTCCCTCCCTCACCTGCCCCTGGCTCTGGAGAGGTTACCAGTAAATAAAAGCACTAATTGCATCTGCTAGCGTTCTCTTCCAGGATTCAGAAAACCAACCTGCACTCATTAACCCTGGGGAAGCGGGGGCCAGCGCAAGTGTGCCGTGCCTTTCTCTGCTCTTACAAATCACGCGTGAGGCCCTGACCCCTCCGCACCCCAGAAGTCTACACTGGGGCTTTTCCCCAGCCGTGCCGGGAAGGGGAGCCTGGTGCACCCTCCAACCCAGGCTGGAGGGGCGCAAGGAAGTTGGCCATCTGCCCTTTCAGTGGCTGGGAGACTAGGGCATGGGGACACCAGCTAAGGCAAGCATGTCACATGCCAGGCTTCTCGCTCTAAGTCACAACAAGGGAAGGCGCGCACGTGCAAGCGCTTTCCTATCCCTGCTGACTGTTCTCACACTCAGCGTCTGACCCCACTCTGCGACAGAGAAGGAAACTGAGGCTGCAAGGCAGCCTCCCGCCGGGGTTAAGACCGGTTACAGGACCCTATAGCCAATGCCCATGCCCTAGAGAAGCCTGGGCCACAGAAAGGATAGCAAGCAGACAGGGGGGGGCGGGGCATGGGGAGTTGGCAGGCCTTTAACCCGGAAGCGTATGCCTGTGTTTCACTCACCCTGTCTATTAAGGCCCAAGAAGAGTCCTGGGCTCTCTTTGTCAACTCACTGCCGTGATACCCCGGACCGGTTCTGAGCCAGGGCTGGTGTTGATAGCGTGACTGGCCTCTTGGAGCATGACGTTGGTCCTGGTAACCATTGTGAGCATGTGACTCACTTAGGATGCTAGGCACGGAGAATCGTGAGCCACAGGGCAGGAGCCAGCGTCCCTGGGCACTGGTGGCAAGAGGGAAGGTGGGAAGTGACCAGACTCCCAGCGTCCTCTGCAGAGGGGCAGCGGGAGGTGCCAGGGGACTGCCCTCCCATGCGGCAAAAGCCACGAGAAAGGTCTAGGTAGGTGACACCTCAGACCAAGAAGGATGAACCAGAGAGCTTGAAAAACCATTTTCTGGCTGAGGCGGACCACAGGCGCTAAGCTCCCACCGTGAGCCACCCGCGGGTGAGTTTAAGCTGGGGGCAGCTCACAGGTTCCCAGATGCAAAGGGCACAGGGCGAGAGAGGGCCAGCAAAACCAAACAGCCCTTCCTTCCTATCCATTCTTTGGGAATTTCCACGTGTGCAACGGACGGTCACACACGTGTACAATGGACGGCGACCACAGTTGCGCCCCCCCCCACCGCCCACCCCTGTCTCCA